AAACCCCACAGAGGTAGGGACTTTTGTTTGACCATTCTGGTTAGTAGGCAGAATCACATTCTTATCTTCATAAGCCCTTGGCACTTTTTAATTATTTTTAGAGAGGATTTTGCTGTAGGGTGTGTGTGCTTGCCAGAAAGACAGACAGAGATATAGAAAGTGAAAACACCCCTTAGGGGGATGGCTATGCCGCAATCCCTTCTCCTCCATTCTCCTCTAGGGATCTTGGGCACACATGCACACGCACCCAGAATGAGTTTAAGTCACTGGGTCTGGGACTCAAACCGCGGCCAACTACTTGCGGGAATCCAGCAACATAGCCATTATGCCAACTGCTGGTCCCAAGCCCTTGGCACTTTTGTATCAGTAGACTTTTATCTATAAAAAATATGAAACATTGTGTTTTGTGAGTGTGTTGGTATGAAGACAAATATTATCCAAGACAGATAACATTTTTTCTTTAAATTTTAAAATAAATTAGTGTATTTTCTTGGATACCTGAAAGTATTATGGATGCTCAATATCACATCTACTGTAGCTGATGGAGAAGTTAGCCCTGTTACAAGGTTTAGACTGGTGCCCAGGAATATATTTTAGTAAGCTTCCCTGGACTACCACTGTCACTAAACAGTTTGAGAAGCTCTACTCTAGTAGGAAATGGTGTCTCGAGAGCTCAGGGAAGCTCTGTGATCACATAGTTAAAAGAGAAATAACAAAGAAAAAAAAATCTTCACGTTTGTGGAGAATGCAGTTGTGGGGAAACACTTTTTTAAGAACAAAAACAACATATAATGTAAATAACCTATCCCTAAAAATAACAAAAGATAGCCTTGAACAATATTGACAGATGTTGTTCTACCCCATGGCTTTTGCGGCAATCCTTTTGATTTTGTAAGTTTCATTTCTTTGCCCTGCATTAGTCATATGCTAGAATCAGAATAATATTCTTGCTATAGGAAATAGTTCCATACCAATGAATCTATTGTGACCTCCTCTGAGAATTAAGGTCCAAAAGCAAAGGGGACTTACAATAAACGAGGTCTATTCATAAGGCATGAAGTCCCAGACTGCTGTGCTTACAAAGCTCCAGCATATAATTGATTTGCTTTTGTTTCCTGTCTCAGAATTAAATTTTAATCTCCTTCCTAAAGGAAAGTAAATTGTGTAATATATCTCAAGACTTGAGACAGTGCTTTAATCAATGTGGACTCCTTAAGAAACAATAAACATAAAAATCAAGACTACAAGTAAATTCGATCTGGCCCTAAAAACAAATACCAAATCGGCTGAGCCAAGGCAAACATTCAGGATTAGGTTACATGTTACTTTTTTTTTCTGTGGCAGGGGTAAGGACAGAGGAAGTAGAATTATATTCTCTTAAGTAACTAATATGTGTTTCTCTCTTATCCCTCTTATTAGTTCCTTGATTATATTTTCTTTGTATCTGATGTCCAATGGCACTCAGTATATTGTCATAAAAGCAGAAATTCCTCAATAATGATTTTTTCTACTTATTGAAAAGAAAAAAAAAAAAAACCTTGGGATAGATTTTTAAAATATACTTCTGCTTATTAGTGGGCTGGAAAATTGAATAAGCTTATATATAAAACAAAGATTGTAAATTTTTGTTGAGATAAATGTTTTAGTTTTACTCTGGAAGTGCCACAAAAAAAAAAAAAAAAAAATCCCATTATGCTCTGAAGAAGGGCTAGGAGGTAGTGTAGAGATTAATTGCTTTGTTTTCAATTTTTGTGTTGAGATTCATCTTCTGTTTCTTCTCACTACATGCTTGCAGGGCATGTGTCCAGGACTTGAAAAGAACAGAGGGTTACTGCACTCCCCAGGCTCATTCCTAGCTAGAATGAACATTAAAAAAAAAAAAAAAATCCTATCTTTGCCTTTCCTAGGGAAAACAGAAACCAGATAAGAAGCAAAAAATGCTTTAAAGAAGTGAGCACAACAAAGATAAACGTGGTACATGGCAGGCAATGTTTTCCGTCTTGTCCTAATGGGTAGAGAATATTGACATGTTTCCCAATGGGGCTGAGTGATACTTTCAGAGATTTTGCAGAAGTTCCAAATTTAGTTTTTTTTAATACTCAAATTATATATGTAAACATGTAAACTTGTGAATTAAATTATATATAATTTATATATAAATATAAACTTATGAATTTTTCAGAAAAAAAGTAAAGCATATAATAAACAATATTTTCTACATAGAATGTTCAGAATACATTAAAAAAAAAGTCTATAGGGCTGGCCCCAGAGCTTAGTGGTTAAGGGAGTCAGATTCTACTTGACTGATCATGGTTCAAATTCTCACCCCAGAGGCTTGAAAACCACGGTGAGTTTGTCACCAGTGTGCACTGCCTGGTGTTGAAGAATGGCGGAGTTCTGGTGGAAGCTTTTATCACAGACACCATATTTATAATGTAGTTCCTCTGTCTGAGTTCTCATTTAAAATTCAGAAACCCAATAAAGGGAAAGACTGCAAAAACAAACAAACAAAACAAAACAAAAAAACAGAAAAACAAATCACGGTGAGCATGTGTGTGTGCATACCCGAAATTTTTGGAATGTAGAAATGGAGAAGGGGTTGAGATATGACCACACTCCACTGAGGAGTGTTATCTCTCCCTTTTTATCTTTCTGTGGAGCCCGCATGCCTCTGACAATAAAAAGAAGGGAAGGAATGAATGAAGGAATGAAAGACCAAAGAGAGGAGGGGAGGAAAGAAAGTGGAGAGGGGTATAGGAAAGGAAACAGACGTTTATGTGTCCTTTAGTTGGCTATTCTTGCATACATAACCAACCGTGTAGCTGTAAGAAACTTAAGGCCAGCAGAAGGCATGTGGTTATGTGGCTGATCTCCTACATGGCCAACCACAGTTTGAGTCCCAGAACCAGTAGCTTGAATATCACTCCAGAAGCATATGTGTGTATGCCCAAGATCCTAGGAGGACAATGGAGGAGAAGGGATTGTGGTGTGGTCATCTCCCCATGGGGGGTGATTTCTCACTTCCCTTCTCACTATCTCTGTCTCACTTTCTCTCCAGTGAGAACACATGTTTTATGGGGGAGAAAAAAAAACTCTAAAAAAGAAAAGAAACAAGCGAATATAATTATCGATGGTTTGCTAGATCACATCTATTAAAAACAGTTATGGTATATCAATTCTTGAGGCCAATTTTCCTTTTGGAACATAGTCACATGTCTTACAAGGGTAGCAGAAATATTAAGAACACTGCCTTTGCCTAGCCATGGCATGTGCTGCTAAGACACTGCTCTGTACCCTGGGACCACATGGTAGGCGTGGTTTCAATTCCCAGTTTAACCTAAAGGTCGGTACTGGGGGCAAGTGCTTATAGTCCCAGCTTGGAAAGCTGAGGCAGGAGAACTTTGATGGCAACATCTTTTCTAACAAAAACCAAAACCAAAACCTATTATGTATTTTCAGAAACATTATTTGATGTTTAGGAAGTTAATGAACCATATTTAACATTTTAGATAGCAAAATTTCTTGTCTATTGTTCTACTATATTTAGAGTTGGGATTTTTTTTTTTTTAATAGAAAACTAAAATGATCGAGATAGATGTCACATGGATATTTTCCCAGTTCCTAAGGGAAATGAAAATAAAGCTTTCCTAATATTAAAATCAAATATGCTCTACATCATTATTCCAAAGATGTTCCTGAAAATGAAGATTGAAACATAAATGAGAGGGGCTGGCAGGTGGCGTGGTGGTTAAGGGTGCTGGACTCCCACGTGGTTAACTGTGGCTCGAGTCCTGGACCTGTCGGCTTGTTTTCTCAATTTCCTTTCTCTCTCTCTATCTCTCTGTCCCTCTCTGGTCAAATAAAATAAAATTAAATTAAATACTTCTTTCAAAAAAGAAACATAAATGAGGTAAATAAAGCAAAATCTGTGGCACCATTTGATAAATGCATGGTTAACTGCAACTCAAACACATATTTTATGATCACTTGGAATTATAAGAAATTAATTTTTACCTTCAAAAATTATAGAATTCAAAAATGATAAAACTGGATAGAATGCCTGTTTACTTAGAGATTGCTTTTATTATGTGTAGAAGATAATTTAACACATTTTTCAACTTAACAGGAATCATTTTCCTAAGATCTATTGATACATTTACTGACCCCAAAATCTGACAAGGAAGAGCCCCAGAAGCAGAGTTATACAGCTGACCGCCCCAGCTGTGCCACAGTTCATTGGCTTGGGAGTGGACATCTGATTCAAGTTGTGCCAAATTCCCTCCAGTAAAGTGAAAAATGAGCTAGCAGATATTTGCACCCGGTCTCTGCAGGTGGTTGGAACTGAGGTGATAAAAATTTAGTAGGTGAAGAGCTTGTGTACAGAGAAACAAGGCTGAACTAGAGAAAGAACCAGGAGATGTAAAAGAGCCTTGTAATCAGATACATTGCCTCAAAGGAAAAACAACATCAAAGCACCATTCTGATTCCCTGGATTCTCTAGTTCTCTCACTTCCATCAAGAATCTTGAGAGAAGTTTCCACTCAGCTCTCGTAAGATTTCTGCACTCTCAAAATAAATCTTCTTGCATGAGCATGTTCTAAGTGTGTTTCTACAACAAAAAGCCAAAATATCTCTAGCACGTCACCCCATACTTATCAACTGCATGTACTAGCCAAGAACATTTTTATTTTCCTTAAACCTCTCAGCACCCATTAAACAGTAAATCTTTTCTTTTGTCTAACTTAGCCAAGACACCAAATTAGGCTGCATTTACAGGTATGAATAATAGACCATATGTCCACAGGTATTACAGATCCTTTGTGATGAAGCTGCCTGCTCATATTTCCAAAACAATTAATCAAATAACTAATTAGCAATCAAATTGAGTTGAAATGCTTTAAAGTACTGAACTTGGTCCTGTGAAAAGTACAAAAAGAAAACAGTATATCACACATTAACTTATCATTTTGATAACCAACTACCTTTGATATGACAAAAAACAGTGATCTGTTCAGTCAGTTTTTCTCAAAGGTCAGCAGGGATAGGTTGAAGCTCGCCAGTAGGTCTGTTATTTTCTGAAAGAAAAGAGAATAAATGAACAAACACACAATTCCTTCCCAACATATACAAACTTGTACTGCTCAATGACAGGGAGGCATCCTGAGAAATGCCTCATTAGGCGATCCTGTCATTGTGAGAACATCATGGAGTACACGTACAGAAACCTAAATGGCTTGCATGCACACTCTAGATCATTTGCGTAAGTACGTTCTTTGAGCTCCTTACCCCTCTTCCAAAAGGGAAGTCAAATGAAGATTCAGCACCATCAACTGCCCTAGAGAGCCTCAATCAGACAAAAAAATCCCTTGTTCCTTATCCGTTATGATGCTGATATTTGTTTTCTCTTCATTTGCAGTCTTCCTATGTTTTCGTTTTTGTTTATTATTCTGCCAGAACATAGAAAGCAAGCAGAAAAGGAAAACAGGCACCCCTCCCTTCCAAGGGGGCATGGTCACATCACAATCCCTTCTCCTCTACTTTTCCACGCTGTCAAGACTTGCAGCATGCACGCACATGTGCCTGGTTTTAAGCTGCCAAAACTAGGAGTTGAATCAATGGTCTGTCAATGTGGAATCTGGCTCCTCTACTATCCCATAGCGCTGACCCCTTCCTAAATTTTATACTTAGTAATTGCAGGTGAGGCTGACTGTTTTTCAGAACTTTACATTTTCCTTAGTGAAGGAAAGTCTGTCAAATATGGTGAACTACAGATATGAAATCCCCCATTAGCTCCTTAACACTCCCCTTTCTCCTCTACCCCCTTCCAAGCACTTACAAAGTGGCCAAGTTTCTTCAGCTGACAAAAGCTTTTTTCAGAAGAGCCACATATGTATGGATGCCAAAAACCTTATGCTAGTTTCTGTAATAACTTGCTCCTAATTCTTACTGAAGTATGAGTGGCCTTTGAAAATCTCATTGAGAATATATATTATATAAAAAAAACTATGCATGGATTTCAAAATTGCAATGAAATAAACTTGTACTTTTAATTCCATTCTTCTGCAAAATTTTTGTATGTGTCATACAACAAAAACAACCAGAAATATCAAGAGATATATTGGAGGCTCTGATTCATAAACCAAGAAATAAAAAATGGAAAGTTAAGGACTTAATCTTAAATCCTGTCTCTGCTGTGACTCACAAGAGACAAGTCACTGAATTACCTCAGCTTCCATGCCTCATCCAAGAAAAAGAATGACATTTTCTTGCTAAGGAGAGATGACATATAGTTATAAAAAATACATTGTAAATTTAAAAGCAGTTGAGAGAGACAGGGAGAGAGAAAGGAAGCAGGGTTAAAAAAATTACTTAATTTACTTTAAGATATGGGAAAAATGTAATTTATGTTTATAATTGATTTTGTTATTTCCATTCGTTTCTTTCATCATAAGGATAGTACTTATAGAGCTCTAGAAGGGAGAGTTATGTACTTATGTGTCCTGGGTGAAGCAGGCTGGAAGATGAGGTCCAGATCCCTTTGCTTTAAATCATTTCTTCTGAATGAATAAGTTGTTTTCAAAAAAAAAAAATGTTGTTTATATTGAACCTTCTTTTCCACCTGACACTTCTCCCTAAAATGGCACCGAGGCCCCTTACAGTAACTCAGAAGAACAAACAGACCTCGGATTCATGTGGTTTCTTCAAGCTGGGCTTGGTTCCTGGGCTGATCTCCTAAAAGATAATTCATCCTATCTTTCCTATTGGGGTAAGTACTGGCCCTCTATTGCTAATGTCCACTGTATTCATTCCTTTCTTCCTAGGGACAAAGGTCCTGCATGTTGTGTGGTCTCTTCTGAGGATCTCTCAGATCCTACATCTTTTAGGCCAGGGCATCCATAAGCGTTTGTTTTCTGCCTGCCAGTCACAGGAAGGTAGGGAGGTAAAGCATTACTCTAAGTACCTACCATCATCCTTGGCTAGGATGTCATTCCTGCCCTACATTGAATATGAAGCTGAGCCAGAATCCAAGGTTCTTCTAAATGCATCCAGGCATCCATATACTAGATGAAGACACCATCTTACACGTATGAATACTTGCACAGAGTTCTCCTGCTTCAAGGGGGTTGACTGGGGACAAAGAAGCAAGCATGGTAATATTTGCACCTGACTTGCTGGAACTACTTTTCTTCATGTACCACACAAAGAGCAGAAGGATTTCTCCCTTTCTCAGTAGCAGAGATTTTATTTATGTCATATTCTTAGTCATCTCCATTTATAGTAATCTTGTTACTGTTATTGAGCCTGTTTTTGATACAAAGGAGGATTACACTTTTAAAAAAACTTTAAAAACACTGTGTATATATATATATGCATGCCCAAAATCCTGACAAGAGGATGGGGAAGAGGGGATGGCAATGTGGTTATAGCTCTGGGGAGTATTTTCTTTCTCTCCTCTCTCCCTGTCTCTCTTGTGAGTATGTGTGCCCTGTAACAAATTAAAAGACAAAACAAAATAGAAGCCTGCTGGTGGCATAGTGGTTAAAGCATCTGGATCCCATGTGGTTGACTGTGTAGTTTAAGTCCTGAAACTGGCACTTAAAAACCATGCTAGGTGCATGTGTGTGCATGACCAAAATTCCAAGAGAACAATGGAGAAGGGATTGTGGCATGGTATCACTCCTCAGGGATGCTATCTCATGTTTCCACTCTCTCCTCCCAGAAAGTGCATATGCCATATAGCAAATTATTATTTTTAAATTAGTTGTACTTAGCCTGTATCTGAAGGATTAAAAGTAAACCTTTAATAACATAATATTCCAAATATTAGCCATTTCTATATATTACTATTATCTGGGTATCTATCTGTCATTTATTCTTCCATCCTGTCATCCATCTATCTATCTAAATATCTATTTATATAATACCAAACCTTGAAGAGACATAATCTAGCATAACTAGAAATCAATAAATAATCATAAATTTCATATAAAAGTAAATAAGAACTCATGGTAACACCAATGTATCCATAGTAATCCAGTATGGTCATTTAAAAATATTTATTAGCTACACTGATGGGCTAATTTTGTATCAACTTGGTTAGGCCTTGGAACCCAGGAGCTGGTCAAACATTACTCAGAATATTGATGTAAAGGTATTTTTTAGATGAGACTAATATTCAAATCAGTAGACTTTGAATAAAGTACAATATGTTTCATAATGAGGTATGTAGACCTTACCCAATCAGTTGAAGGCTTTGAAAGAAAAAAGACTGGCGTTCCCAAAGGAAGAGGCTGAAGACCCATCAGATTTTCTATGGGTCTTCCCCCCCTGCCAGCCTACCCTGCAGATTTTGATCTAGCCAGACACCATGATTCATTCAAATAAATCTCTCATTTATTCATGTATGTGTGTATCACTCTCTCTCACACACACATACACACACGCACACTAATGATTCTGCTTTTTTGGAGAACTCTTAGGAGAACCTACCATGTGTCTGGCATCCTTTTAGTATGAAAAATGCACAGATGAAGAAGGCATTGTTCTTGTCTTTATAAAGTATAATTGTCGGCTTAAAAGGCTGACTCCAAACAGGTTCAAGTCAAATATCTCTAAATAATTTACATATAGTTAATAACTCAAGCTAAGCTTCTGTCTGATCAAATCTCATCATCAGTTTACTGTGACAATTTTGGATAGAGTGATTAGAAATAATAAAGTTAATTCTTATCCCCATTTACTTACCACAAATGTCAACATAGATGAGTCTGAAGGGAGTTTGAAGGTACGTTAGTATAACTACACTTGAATAGAGGCTTATGGTTCTTCTAAAACAAAGCCCAATGCCCTATGTTATCTTATGAAACCTTTCAGACAAATGATACACATGATAGACAAGGTACATACCATTCTATAAATAAGGAAAACAAGCTCAAAAAAAATTTTTTTTTGAGTTTTTTGCTATAGGGCACATGTGCTTGCCAGAAAGACAGAGAGAGACAGAGAGACAGAAAGCAAGAAATCACACCCCAGGGGTGATGGCCACACCAGAATCCCTTCTTCTTCATTCTCCCCACAGGATCCTGGCACACACGCACACATACCTGGCATGAGTTCAAGCCACTGGGTCCGGGATCCGAACCGTGGTCACGGGAATCCAGTGACATAGCCATTATGCCAACTGCTGGTCCCAAGCTCAAATATATTGTTTTTTTTTTTTTTTTTTTTTTTCTCCCCATAGTGTGCCTGCACTCATCAGTGAGACAGAGACAGATAGTAGAGGGAACATGAGAAATCATCCTGTTGGGGGATGGCCTCTTTGCAATCTCTTTTTCTCCCTTCTCCTTCTGGGATTTTGGGCATGCACATACATTCACCCATTCTGATTTTCAAGCTGATGAGTCCAGGACTCGACAGCAGTCAGTCCAGTGGGAGTCCAGTGCCTTGACCACCATGCCACCCTCTGGCCCCTGAAGCTCAAATATTTTAAATAACATACTCAGAATTATACAGTAGCAGCCTGGATAGCTTTTCTATTCCTAGTTCTACTGGTACTCTTTGTGTTACTTAATATGATATGTACTTTAATTTCCTAAACTAGTATGAAACCTAAGATTAACAGACATTTTCAAACTACTTAAGGTAATTTTCTTGTGAATGCACAAGTATAATACTTATACATATTATTGGTCTTCAAAGCACGCAATAGTGAAAATGGAAAGCATGTGAATTATACATAGTAAAGAACTTATTAAAGAAATTGTTGTCTAGTATTGGATCATTTTAAGCAGATCTTAAATGATTCATATGTAAAGTTAGTGTATATGTATGTATGTATGTGTATATATTTACATATGCATCAGGAAGCTTACTTATACCATTAATTCGTTAAACAATTGAGTATCCCCCATGTTAATTCATTCAACAGTTGTGCACCCACCATGTACTGGGTGCTGTTCCAGGTGTTTGAGGAAACATTAGTGAACAAAACAAAGGCCCCTGGCCTTGCAAATATCCTTATAGGGGGTGACAGATATTAAGTAACAAATATATTAAGTAAGTCTATAGATTTTAG